ATATATCTTTTTACAACCAAATAACATATTATATATCCAATATGTAACATTTCCAAATATTTGTACTTTTCAATAATCTCATTTTATATATTTAAATTAATAAATTATTCGAAAATATAAAATTGGTAGGATTTAAACAAAAACCAGGATTATATAAAACATTTCATTTTTTTTACATAAAACTTTTTAAAAAATTTGTAAAAATAATTATGGGACATATGCAGGAGTAATATATTAAATTGAAATTAATTTTGGTTCAAATACAATAAAGCGGGTGTGGAAAACTCTTTCTAAAGCGAAATAGACGACCTTTGTAAAATACCTCAACTGACTTTATTTTCATTTCTACATTCATAGTACTGTAATGAATGAACAAACGTTCATCCATTTTGTCCAGGGTGAAAAGTGCACGGCACTGAAAAACCGCGTTCGTATGAGTTTCCCCTTGCGACAAATAATCTCTTCATTTCATTTCGACAGAGAATAAATCGTGGGCAGCGTCATCTAACTAAGTTTCGCTAATCTATTACAAATGCTTTGAATTGTCTAGAATCCATAAAAATATTCACTCTCATGCTAAGCATTTACGTTGAGGATAAATAGTCGAGTTTAACGCGCCATGCCCTATGAAGAACACTTTTCACCTGGGACGCAGAAAAACGATACTTACGCTGTGTTTTGCCGTGCAATAAACGATCATTTCTACCTAAGAGTACAAGGAAAGAATACTGCGTTTCGTCATGTCACACTCTATACTTTACATCGCGTTTTCTCTTTCTCTCTCGCTCTTCTTCGCGGTAAAAAAAATAGTCGGTATTAGGCGCTGCCTTGTTTAACATCGCCTCTTTTTTCTTTCTTCTTTACATCGCGGATATTACGTGTCGGACTGAAACGTATTTAAGGTCACAGCACACCTGGAGGGAATTGAACTTGCAGTCGCTTTACAGTCCGTAAATTCTTTGGTACTTAACACTTTTCAATGTTGTACTCTTAGATACGCTAATGCGCTGCACAAGTTACTGAATCACAAAACAGAGGCATGCGCGACCCGATTCATTAATTAAAAAAAAAAATAAGAGTCGATAACTGTTAAAAACAATTATATTATAAACATATGAAGATCAGAGATGTAAGATTAAAAATAGTATCGTTCAACTTCTATTGCACTGACTGATCTTGTTATCGAACTGGTTAACAATTTCCTCATTTCTGTATCACAGCCTTCTGTCGCTGTAATAAAGAAAGAAATAATTTAATTAACCGACAATTTAGCAATTAATGCTAAAATGATATCGATGCAACCAATGGCTACTCCCGTCAGTTTTCACGTGCGTATGTGATCGAAGTTCGAGAACGTGTGAGCTCGAATCCAACTATATTTTTCTTTTTGCGTAAGCAAAGACAAGTATCACGGGTGTCAGCGAGTGTAAGCGGAGTTTTATGAAAAAAAAAAATGAAGATGAGGTAACGTTAGTTCGCATGTCTGCGCTATGACGCCGATCATACTTTGCCGATCGCATTTCGAGAAAAGGTGCTGTAAATCGGACTCATCGAGCATAATTCATCGTCGATAACATTAATAGTCCTCCGTGTTAGATAATAATAAACATTCAACATGTAGCAGCCAACGTCGCTGTTGTCATGATGTTAGACATTTTGGGATGTCGTAAAATCTATTTTAACATCGTTCCTTGCGCGCATATTCGTCTCGTGTGCATTGCGCAAGTACAGAATGTTATACTCGCGAGAGTTATTCGCGCAATATCACATCTCCTTCAATGTCTCAAACAGGACAATTTTTTTTAAGCATCTTCGGGATTACGGCTGCTCGCGTGATCTTCACACGTTTAATTGCTTAAAATAATATCTGCAGTACACTGACATCATCGTCGGCGGCGCATCAATTTTATGTAATAACTTCTCATCGTTCTCGGAAAATTTCTCCAGCGATAAACTGTATTCCCTGTCGAAGACGCCTGTAAGAATCGTTGTTAGACAAATTAATCATGTCATAATCAAACTTGATAAATATTTCGATATTTGAATTAATTCATCATTTTAGAAATATCTTATATAAATTTGCAAAGATTACAATATTTTAATCATGTGCATATAATTCACCTTGGTCAATATTCGTTCTTCCTAATACAGTAAATGCCAGAAACAAAATATCTCTATATATAGAAAACGGATGATCGCCTGTTTGATGTTTACTTCTTTCTAAGGCCACTCTTAATATAGGTTCCGCTAAGTCGTTGCAACGGACATACGTTATCACTGTCTGCATCAATCTAGAGCAAAAAAAAATTAGCAGTTTTAACTGTTCATATATCTATTTGTTCAACCTGATCATTTCCTAATCCAGATAATCGTTAATTCTTTCACAATATCTATTTACACTTGAAATTTAAATATCATTAATGATTTGAAAAAAGATTTTTTATTGAAACTTACGTCCTGTCTTCTGTGGAATTTGACTTCCATTGGAGATACATAGGCAAACGGTCCATGTGGAGTCGTTCGTTATCCCACATGGTTCTAACTCCTACCAATCCTACAGTTCTTTGAAGTTCTGAGTTCTTATCATTATCCAACCACAGATCAGGTAAATGACTCGTTAAATTAATCCTTTCAAAGTACCATATCAAATTCCAATATACTATCGGGTGTTCTTGAATGAACCTGTGCTTAGTGAGACATGCGTCCCCCTCTTGACTCAGTACACTTTCTAATTCTTTTCTCAAAACTAATGGATTTAGGTATGGTACGGTTATCGGTTCCAACGATTCTTTCGGTTGATCCAATAATTCTACCAGTGCTCCCATTAAAGGGTCACTATTCTTCTCACTTACTTCGGATCTACATGAGACAAATGTATTCTTAGTGATGACTTTATCGATATCTATCACTTATGTTATGGTCGCTTAGTCACCTGTAATCTAATATCGTAGCTGTGAGGAGAGGTACGGTAGCTTTGTCGCAATATTGACAGACTGTATTCAAGTTGGAATCTTCTGGCTGCCAACCAGCCATTATCTCCTCATCATACAGGATGGCAGCGCAATGATGACATCTACTGGCACTGGAAAGCACAAGCTCAATAGCAAGACGTTCCTCTAATTCTCTAGTGCCTTTTGGATACAGACACTCAGCGAGCTCATACAGTGGACACAAATCTAAATTTCCATCACCTGATTGAAAAAAAAAAAGAAATTAATATTATTGTGTAATATAAATATATATGATATTTGTTATTATCAGTTAATATAATTTATATTCTATACCAGAGGTTCTCGTTTCATTTCGATCTTGTATGGAATCAGTGAGAGAATCTAGAGATTCATGCGATACTCCGTAAGCTATTTTTTGTTCACGTTCTTTATTTTTCACTGGCGTACTTGTCGCTGAAATGGCTTCTTTGATTTCGTCAAATTTTTTGACCACAGTCGTTGCAGCGGACTTTAAGCTATTTAAACCACCAAGTATTATTTCGTTCGATTTTTTTCCTGTTAAACTCGATGGGCTAAAATAAGAATTAATAGAAACATAGAATCTGGAATTTGCAGGAGAAATATCTTACATATTAAAAATATGTACTTAGTATTTTTTTGTAATAATGTAGATATGCATACAAGATGCATACAAAAGCAGAACGCACATGTCTAATGGGCATCTATGCAACTAACATACACATTACGTACCTGATATAGCTGGAGAGACTAAGAGATTCAATAAGTTGATTCGATGATATTAAATCCTTATTTTTAGCAAATGCCAATCCACCCGTGGAATATCGTCTACATTTAACGAACAAAATAACAAAAACCAACTCAAATATGCATGCAACAAATAAACAAAAATAAAATTACATTCCTCTAACAGTGTGATTACAAATTATGTATTTAGTCATCACTTTTGTTATGTATATATATCTAATACATAAATATACATAACAATTTATTTTTCTCATCGATATCGTTTATTTATATATTTTGTTAAAAAGTTAGAAGTATAATCTATATAAAATTATTCTATCTTGCATATTTTTTTATGATTATAAAATATAAAGTAACCGAATCTTGCAAATGTATTGTATCACGTCACACTTTTGAGGAACTGAAACATAATCTATTTACCCGAGGTGTTATTTGACTACAGACGATTTGTGCATGTTATTAATTTAAACATACACACAAATATCTTACCCGAAACTAAGTTTAAGACTAGATCCTAAGCTAGAGAGGCTGGACGTTACACTATCCTTATTTTGAGACCAAAGACTGCTTATTTCCAGTCTCTCCTTTTCTCTCTCCTGTTCCCCTTGTTGTGCCACGGAGTGAGGCATCGTCTCACTTCTCTGCAAATGCCCACCCATCGTCATGCCACTTTCATCTACTTGATGAAACGTCGCACTACGTGGGAGGATGTTGCTGTAAACACATATTTTATATATAGAGTGATTTTCGTACTTAAAATCATATATGCAAATGAAATGCATATCTTTGAAGATCACAAAGCATGAGATACAACTGTCTCTCCACAAAAAAAATATTTTTATTGTGTTCGTGATTATTTTGATTACCAGTAACAGTCTCCCATTAAGTGGTTATGAATTGTATTTTATATATTTCTTTTTTCTCTTAAGTTTATCTTTATTTTGAGAAAATATTTGTTCATATAATTTTTTCAAAAATTATTTTGTGATATACTACTTCTAGGTTTTATTTTGGTTCTCGTTTAAATATTTAATATTTCACACATGCGAATACAATACGGAGTATCTTCATACCTTCTAAATAAGAGCGGCCCTCCTGGTCTCTCTTCAGTCGTATTATTTAAAACGGTTAAAGTACTTGTTGAGCAATTTGAATCATTCTCCTCGGAAGGCGACACAATCGGTGTTTCGTCATTAATGAGAGCACCCAATGGGTCATTTTCCGTAACTGGTGTGCGTATGGGACTTTTTAAAGGCGATTCGACACTGCGCGTTAGCCTACATGGAAAATATTACATCTACATAAGCCTATACATGCAAAAATTAGCACTGTAAAATTCAATAAGGAAAGATTAATTACGTAAGATTTGACAATGACAAAATGGTCTACACAATAAATACTCGTTTGCATCCGCTACTGTAATACTAGTAAAATAATATAGTCTAAAGAACAAGCGGTTCCAGCGAATGGGGCAAACCTGAGAGCGATACTAACAAGTCCTAACAATAAAAATATAACAAGATACCTTGGATTACTCGGTGTTTGTTCCAATTCATCCGATTGTAAAATACTTAATGTTGTTTGATCTTTCACTATGCTATTCTGTCGAAGGAGCTTAGCTTTTAATTCGAATGCTCCGAATCCGGGTAGATCTGACACAGAACTGCCTTTAGTGGCTGCCGCAAAAAGGAAAAAAATATTATTTAAAAATTTTAACGTAATTTGTCATATGTAAAAAAAATCAATTTACAATCACTGTGCGCAGCTTCGGTATCCTGAGAATGGGAACTGTCGAGACTAGACCGAGAGAGCGCATGTTCCATGCATTCAGTCTTATCGGTAGCTAAGAAGTCTACATTAGAGCTCAATCGTCTTCTGGCGCTCTTTTTCCCAGCTTTTTTAAATAAAGCTGCACCGACGATAACATTTCGTAATTTATTCCACATTAACTGACTTGAGTTTGTCATATCGGAAGGCCAAGTTGCCTCGAGAACAGCCTGTAAATACGACAAACAATGAAATAAAATTCTTAAGATAATTATAAAAAGTTTTACATAAATATATTTTTTACGGTATTATATTTACTAGTTTAAAAAATATAGACAAATTACCTTGTTGTAAAATCCGTACGTTAAAGCATTAGGTTGAACACCACTGCGTTTCATATGGAACAATAATTTTACAGCTAAAACTGGTTGCCCGTATACCCCACAAAGTTGCATCATAGCTCTGTAGCATACCTGTAGAAATAACAAATATTTATTTAAAAAGAATAGATTTATTTTTTTTTAATGTCGAACTCAGTATTTATACCTCTTCCATAGGATCAAGACGTAACTTCTGCATTTTAACTAATATTTCATAGGCCTGATGCAAAACTGCAGCAGGTTGGCTGGAGACTTGTAACATGGCCGGTAAATGCAGAAACCAAAGACTGTGACATGTACCAAGCAGGCATCTACCCCATCTATCGGGCATTGCAGCCTGAAAAACAAATCATACATGCATATTTGCTCGCAAAAATTCACTTTTTTATACAAAGAATTATTTTTTTATTTACTTGTTTTCGAGCCATTCTTTGAGCAACTTTGATTTCATGCTTCGTTCTACGAGCCATAGGACTTCCAGGTACCATACCGAAGGCACTTAGAGAGGGATTCTTTAAACAGAAATTCTTCTGAGGCCTCATTAGTTCTGGGTCCAACTTGAACGACTTGTATATTATTGGTGTTTGATTTGTTCCTGCTTCAGGTGGAGGTATGAATACTGTACGTTCACTATGTTGAGATTCATCCAGTTCCAAAAGTGTTACTGAAAATTAAATGAGGAATAAAAAACAATTACGCAATATCTCAGGTATACATTAATAACATAGAAAAATATATCTTAACTTTATTCGTACCATTTTCCTCCTCGACTCGTTCTGTGCATTCATCGAAAAACGCCAACCCTGCCATATCCATATCAGATACGAAACTTCTTTCTTCTATGAACCTATCAATTTACATTTTTATTAAAATAACATTATGATTATGTCATGAATAATATTATGATAGAATTAATGAGGAAAAATGAATTCACCTGATAAACATTTGCGTTCTGACAAGCATGGTGTAAAATTTAGCATGGGCTTTATCACGACTTCTCAAAAACGCTTGGATATTAAATAAACTTGTCGGATCTGTTGTTCCTACAGTAGGCGCTTTTGTAATCGGTAACAAATAACTTCGATATCCTTTGAGAATCGTCGCCATGAATCTTAAGAAAGCATCCTGTATTTCAAGTTCTAAAGCTTGCTCTTTTCGTTTTTGTTGAAATTCCCTATCCACGCTGAAGTCTTCATCTCCTCTATCTAATATGAAAATAGTATATATAAATTAATGTTAATAGATAAAAAAAGGTAGTAAAAAATAATAAATAAGTAAATAATAATAGTAGGGTACAAATAATAGTATAAATAATAAAAGTAGGGTATAAATAATAATAATAATAATAATAATAATAATAATAATAATAATAATAATAATAATAATAATAATAATAATAACTTTTTGGGAACAGCTAGTTTTTCCCCACGAAATTATCTTGGAGGACAAAAGCTCTAACCAATTTCTGAGCTGTCTAGCTGCCTTTTTAGGCAATAATTTAACATTTAAATATTTTTTATCGTCACATATTGCAATGTTATTCGTATCCAAATTTACACAATTGACGTCAGAAGGAGGATCATATAAATCAAAGAACCTTGAATCCACGCCGATCAGGAATGGCAATGGTGCATGCAACACCTGCAATTTAAATAATAGTTGTCTTTCCACTTTTTGCACATAGTACAAAAAAAAAATGCAAATTTATACGTTACCTCTGCTAATCCTAGAGGACACAGTGGTATGTAAGGACATTGCCACTTAAAAGGAAACAGAATCATGGCAATGGCCTCACTGACGGAAGTTAATACATCCGGACGTAAGGAGTGAACTAATATTTTCTGCTCGGTCAATATTAATAATAGTATTAATAAACAATTGTCAGGTCCCAAGTTTATCAATAGTTGTCTGAAACTTGCGCCTGATCTAGGCAGAGCTAAATCCTCCGGTTGAGTCAAGATTAATCTATCCTGACTACTGAGCTGTACCAATATTCGTGGACGTTGCGGACTTGGAAACGGTATATCGCATAAAAAATACGAGATATATTTCTCAATCGGGACATTCTGCGGCTTATCGTTCACCATGCGATGTAGGAAAACCAAAAATTTTTCAAACGTGTCAAAAAACGGCCAGTGAGATAGTATACATATGGATTTACTAATATTCAGCGATTGGCTCGCAGGATCTGTGTATTGCAATCTTTCCAGTTCCAATATACTAAGTTTCTTAAGTATGCCAAATCTCTTAAACATCTTCATTTTCACTTGCGGCTTATCTTTAGTTATCTCCATATTATCTGAAATGAAAAAAGGATTATGTATAAAAATATTATGTATAAAAAATAGGATACATGTGAGAATATTTTTTATTCTGTATTACATATATAGATTCGTGATTATCTATAAAAAAAGTCAAAGATTATCAAATTAAGATTATAAAATACATTTGTACCACTGTTTTTATTATTTTCAACTGTGTCCATGATCTCCTGACTACTTTTGCAATTTGAAGTATCGGGCTCCATTTGAACCTCCTCATAAAATGTTATTGCTGAACCATATATTTTTTGAGCAGCATCGGCAACCGTTAAGACAAACGTCGAGAATACTGGCTTAGGTTTACACGCTACTTTAGGCCAACATTCTATAGTCGCGCCCATCGGTAGACAAAACATGGCGACAGAATTAGGAAAGACGAAACTGTTGTAATCTACCATGGGATATTTGTAAAGTATCGCTGGTTTAAATGATACTAAATTAGCGCGATTCATAGATTTTTTATAGCACAAAAATACGTCGCTGCCCAGCATCCCTTTGTTCAAATTCTTATTAATAACACAGAAAGCATGTGGCGGACTCTCTCCTTTGTTTGTCAAGATAACACAAATATCCGTAACCACAAGGGAATTGCAAGGCATTTTCCGACTCGCTCGTCTGTATGTTACAAAAATTTTTGACGTAGAATTATTCACATTCGCCACATGGCCTTTAGGGGTCTCTAATACCATTTCGGCATCTTGCATTATACGTTCTTTTCCATCATATATTACACCTACAAAGTAAAATGATATTTAAGATAATACAATTAGTAATAATTTCAGTAATATTTAGAGTCAATTGTATAATGTTTGTTCTTTAATTTCATTATGACAGTCACTCGTATTACTCTAAATTATAGTACATATTAAAAGCTACTTTATAGAAAGTATTTAAATGTAATGGCGTAACATAATCAACTTTGACAATTGAAATAATATATGTAAATGTAATAACGTGATAATATTATTACTGAATATGTAATATTTATATACTTTTAATACTTTACTTTAATTCCACAATATGTATATGGTAGATTTAGTATGCACTAATACAGTGTAATACAAATGACTGTATTCATAAGATATTAATTTGATGTCCCTCTCTCTTACCAATGTCAACCAAGGGAGGTTTATCCCGTCCTCTTCTATAGCACAAATAACACTCGTTTGTTCGTAAACTGCCATGATTTAAGTCTGCTGGAAAACCGGATACTGTATATTCTAAGAGTGTATATCCTTCCGGACAATGTTCCCCCAGTGCAGGAAATATTACGGCAAGATCTGTGATAGGAGGTGGCATGTGCATATCTTTGAGATGAGTGCCTTCCTGACACCAAGCCTCCAGCTTGTCGTTAGTCTCATTATCTTCGCTAAGCTCGTCATCCTGACCAGGTAGACCGGCAATAACAAAATAATCTGCTACTCTTCTGTCGTCCATATTTTCTAAATAGGACAGATTACCAAAACATCAAAAATTCTTTTGGTTAAACTTTATTTTCCGTAACCTCATAACATAGGTCATCAATCTTGTTGGCTACTGAGGATGTTTCTGTACATGGCACTGAACTGATTGTTCTAAAATCTTTCTCACATAAGTAGCACTCGAAAGAGCATGTTATGTGTCGTTTTCTAACACGCGAGAAGTATTCTACCTCATATACCAACAAGGGTAGTTAACTCCAACACCTTAGATGTGATATTAATATTCGAAACATTGTAGTAACTGGTCCTGCGCTCCCTCATAGGCTTACAATCTTATAAAAATATTTTGTCTACCCATCAATACGGGTTTGCTGCAAAGTTGGAGTATTTCTCAGCACTAGCTTCGTGTTATTGCTCGGATAAAGCTTAATCGAGTTGTTAAGATGCGTCACAATCTAGAAGATGATCTTCTGGATCTCCTGGATTTAGAAATTCATCAGGAAACGACGGATATCTTGATTATTGTTCGAGCTCACTTTACGGAGTAGATGTCCTCGTTCCTCGCACGTTATCTCGCATCCTCACCTCGCTCTCAGGAATTTGTAAATAAACCGGACACGGCGTTCCTCGCGCGGATGCGTCGGTGTTTACTTGCCGACGTCGACGCCCGGCGGATCCGTCGGCCGTCGTCGCGATCGCATCCCTCCGTGCGAGGTGCAAATCCTCGTTTGTTGGCTGTTGATCTCCCTCTTCAGAACGGAGTCATAGGTTAGACGTCACACACGCACACGCGACGGAGTTACACAAGCGCGGCCGCGAACGACGTTATCGCGCGTTGTCGTGCGCGACTGGCGCGGAGCTTGGCGGCGCCGCGGATACGGGTGGTCGCCGTCGCGCGAGTTCCGCAGCGGTGACGCACCGACGAAACTGCGTTGTTGCGTCGCCGTGACCGGAACGCACCTTCGCCAACCTTTGCAGGGATCGGCGGTGTGCGGTATTGTTGGGTAGTGTCAAATGGCCAAAGTTAGTCCCCACTGGCCCGACTGGCCGCTGGCAAAATGGCCGATGACCGTGGCGATGGCGCGGCTCCTTCGAAAGCGGTCCCGCGGCGCGGAACCGAGATTGGCGAACGTACTCCTCTCTTCACGTACGATCGCGATAGCGCTATGCTCCGAGACGATGGGTGTGTGGTAGGCGCCGCGTCTCGTCTGGTCTCACCTTGCATCCTTCGGCTCGAACAGCGCGCGTTATGCCCCCTTTTTTCGTCACTTCTGTGTTTCTCTTTTTTTTCTTTTTCTTGTTTTTTTCCCTTTTATTGGAAACGTCAAGCCTCCGGGATCGTTTGAATCGCTAGGAGTAAACAGATGTAAACAAGAGCCAGAGTTTCGAATGCATGACGTTCAAGAATCAATTACGCTAATTATACGTTGCGAGTTCGCGTCTAAATGATCGCGCGGAGATTGCGACAACAGTTGTGCGTGTATTCTCGACGCGTCGACGATAAAGGATAGGAATTTGTATTATGATTAAGAAATCAGCTGCAGCAATTATCTTAGCGAGATAGAGTGTTTTCCGTTTCACGCATGATGCGCATGACATATATGTATCATTTTATTCTTGTTATTCATCGAATATTAAAGAAGGGTAAAATAATATATCATGCGCATCATGCATGAAAAGGAATTCTTATTAGAAAGAGATAATTGATTATAGCAACAGATTTGGCATAATCTCACCTGTTACATTTTTTCTAATATTTTATTTAAATTGTTTCACTTTATTCATTGAATATTATTAAATAATACTAATTTGATAAAAGTATTACTATTTTTAAATGTTTAATTAATGTAATGTAAAAAAATTAATTTTTTTCAATATTTTAATACTTTTTAATATTTTTGAAATAAAAGTAAATAATTTAATGAATAACATATGATATCTATGAAATCCGTAAATATTAATACTTATTTATATAATATTCAATTTTATAAAATCAAAATAACAAAAAATATTGGGATATAAAAATTTTTGCATGCAAATTTTTTTTTTATCAATATGTATATTATTTTGAAAATATAAATGATATACCGAATGTCAAGACAGAATGATATGTTTGTGTCAGTAAAATGAAAAGCATCTAAAATATTCTTTTCATGGCCGACGTGCTTTCAGTATTATATTTTTAACCTTTTACTGACACGTCAATATATACATATAATTATCTCGTTTCAAGCATAAAAAAAGTGCATAAAAACATAGAAATATAAGTCTATATATAGAGCTCCATTATTATGGTAATTAAATTAATAATCTTTTTTCTTCTCTTAAAAGATTATTATCTTTGTAGTATTAGATTTATAAGAGTATTATCTTTGTCTTGCTTGTTTTGCCTCTGTTTATTCATTTTAGCTGCATTCAAATTTTTTAAAATAATTGTAAATATATATACACACATAGATTTTATATATATTATTAGAGAGAAATCTGAGAGTCATGTCGGATTTTTTCCTGTTACCGTCGAAATTGCTGGTACACTACCGCCATTATCAATTTAAGAACTACGTGACTATATACATTTTCTGACACTATCGATAAAATCATATCATCCAGAGTAGATGTGGTTCGTCTCTGTACTAAATTCTCTGGACAGAAGCGACTATTCATAGGAGAGATAATTTAATGGGTCTTTGGCCGGTATTCATAGTCAGATCTTATTCAAGACCATCTTAAGTTTTCGTCTTTGGTTTTAAGAAGTCACGAACCAATCAGAAGGCTGCATTACCATCTTAAGACATTACTTAAGATGAAATAAGACTCGACTGAATACCGGCTTTTGAACGAAAAAAAAATTTTAATTTTGCATCTCTTACAAATGTAAATAAAAGTTGTTGAATTTTAATAAACGAAATTGAAAATTCAAACAAATTAATTTTGTGAATTTTGTCTTATAATATTTTATCTTATAATATCTTATAAAATTACGAAGTTATGTATCTTTATGCAAATTTTCAGCTTTTATCAAACGTATAACTACTAGTATGTATCAAAGTCTCTATAATTACTAGTAATTATAGACTTTTAATAAATTCAATTTTTCTAAGCATATATTGTCAATTTAAAGTATTTAACAAAAACGAATAAATTGGTATAAAATTATAAAGTAATTTTTAAATCTTCTTTATCTAATTTTATCTTATTTCTTATTTAATATTTTAAATAAGTTTCTAGAATCTATTTTATATTTTTTATTTTAAACATGTCGTATCAGTTTTTTACCGATTCCTATAATTTTACATTTGAAATAAGTTTTTGCAACTATTTTATATTTTAAATAATTCGTACGTTATTTTATCAAGCCGTGATCGGCACATACGTAAGATTAAAGAATTTCTAAAATACAGAATAATTTGCAGAATAATTTGCAGAATAATTTGCATATATAATAGTAATGTCTTAAATTAATTTATTAACTGAAAAATTAAATAATGATTAACAAGTTTAGTACTTTTAGCCAAAGCTCTATTTAACGCAAATTGTTTCACGATATTAAGAAAATTTGCATGTATTTTTACATAAAGAACATATATATAGAATATTTTATCAAGCTTTAAGTACGAATTATTAAAAAGAACAAGAAAATTAAGACAATATTGGAATAACAAAAATACTCCACGCGAATAATTATTCATTACGTTTAAAAGAATCATGCAAGCAATATGATTGATTCACAAGATATGTCACAAAGAAAAACGCGAAATGTACGGCGATGATCATTTGTAAAATACGAATAAACTGTGAATATTTTTTTCATACGCAATAATTCGAACGGCGAACTGCGTAGAGGAGCGTGTCACGTGGCTAACAAGGTGGGGGAGCGTGTCGCGCGGCGCGGTGATTGACTACGTCACTTTGGCATTCGCTCGGCGATCGCGGAAGGAGATGGATGTGTTTTACGAGTCGCATTAATTAATGAAAATTAGATATCTACAATCCGAATGTGAATTACGTAAGATTGTCTAAAATTAAGGGAGTATATACTAAGGATTAATTAGTTTTGTTGCACATGGTTTTTGCTTTATTTCTCAAATTCATTACGTATATACACAGCTCATGAATATTTTAAATATTTCATGTGTTCTCACGTGTACGGTATAAAAATGACATTATTATTGTTAGATATTTCAAATTATGGCTTTTTATCACTTTGAATCATATAATTCTGTCATTTTCGTTCATATTATTCCGCATTCTTGTGATACGGGAAAAGTAACAATTAAATTATATTTAAATTATCTCTAAATGTATGTGCATGCTACTTATACATATTATTTAGTCGAAATTGTTTTATAATTTAAAATAAATTTTGCATTTATCTTCATTTAAAGGATATATGACATATTATTAATCTTTATTTAATTGTAAATCAAAAAGAGCAATAAAATTGAAATATAATGTTGAGATGTCAAAAGCACTTTACGTGAACAATTGTAAGAAAAAACCACGCTAGTAAAAATCTTTTTTACTTCTTGCCTTTTGTCAGCACATTGTAATTGATACAAAATATTTAAAATTATAAAATAAATATGTTCCTCGGTGTATAACAATGTAATTATGATGATCACATTAAACGATTCGCGCCGCTAAAACTAGATACATATAATAAATTGTTTCATTAATCGGAGAACATTAAAAATGTAAAGAATATATTATTTTACTTCGTAATATACGTTAATTTAAAATAATACGTTTCGGCAGTTAAACGGTTGGCGCGACCTTGGGTTGGGGATGGCACGGGGTGGCACGGAGCGGCGCGTCATGTTTACGTTTATGCGTAGTTACTGCGCAGTCATTCTCTTACCGAGATTCGTACAAATAGATTGTCGTGTCGCATAAGGCTCTTTTTCACATTACTTTTTGAAATCTTATTGCGAAGAATGTCAAATATAATACGAAATACGTTGTACTTTATGAATAATTAATCATACTAGTAATCGTATTATGTGAATATTCATAAAATATAA